GTGTGCTGAATGGCAAATAAATATCATTAAAAGTATCTTTGACACAATATCTGTACAAACAAAAACACCCAAAAAAAAATTCTTCTTTGCGTTTACCGGCGGTAAATTATGGTTGTTCGTCCATGTCTGGACTTTGGTCCTGATAACAGTGACATAAGGCACCGTTTTCGCTGGAACAGTCCTGTTTTCTGGGGAATCACAGAAGCACCCCCACCGCCGACTGTACTATTTTATAAAAAACCTGTAATTGGGTTCTTAAAATGTATTTGTTCCTTAATACTTACTTAGTCGCTCCTCTTCTACCTTGGGGTGTAGAGGTTTGCCAGAGAGATCGCCAGACGTCTCTATCAGCAGTTTTCTTTCTGGCTTTGTTCCATTCCAGTCCTCTGTCAGTTAGGGACTGTCGGATGTTGTCTTCCCAGCGCACCCTGGGTCGTCCCTGAGGTCTGGTTCCCTGGTTCTTAGCCTCCCATGCTTGCCATGGTGGCCGATTTTCTCCCATTCTGCATACATGTCCAAACCATCGTAACTGTGACTGATCTACTCAGGTTAGTAAGGGCTGGGTATCAAGATCTTGACGTATTGTCTGATTGCGGACTTTGTCCCTTCTTGTCACTTGGACCACCTTTCTCAGGTATCTCATTTCCGAGGCCTGCAGCTGGCTTCTGTGAGCCGTTGTCATTGCCCATGACTCACACCCATAGGTCAGGACTGGTTGTTCCTTAATTATTACTAATAATAATAAATTATAGCATACCTGGGGAGGGACGGTGAACTGACTTGCTTGGGAAATCCCTTTTCAGCCCATTATATTAATGGGATGTCCTGTTTTCAGATCAAAATACTATGGTAACCATAGTCTTGATCCGGGACTTCAGTTTTGCATGCACATACGTTTTACAAATCTGGCTTTTTTTAATGCAGACTGTCGGTTCCTTGTCTTTTAGACAGATGCACTCTTGATTTCGAAGGAAGAACTCCTAATTAGTCGCTTCCTATGACATGCTTGTAAGGAGTTAGGACATTGGGTCTATTCTTTGTTCTCCCAAATGGAGCCTCGAACTTACTCGGGGAAAAGAAACTCTAAAACTGGCTCTCAACCTTTCTAATGCCGCGACCCTTTAATATACAGTTCCCTCATGATGTGGCGACCCTTTAATACATAGTTCCCTCATGATGTGGCGACCCTTTAATATACAGTTCCCTCATGATGTGGCGACCCTTTAATCTACAGTTCCCTCATGATGTGGCGACCCTTTAATATACAGTATCCTCAAGATGTGGCGACCCTTTAATATATAGTTCCCTCATGACGTGGCGACCCCCAGACAATTATTTTCCTTTATAGGTTAGTTGCGTTTCCTTTATAGGACGTTACAGAACCAGCCCCTGGCTGTTGTGTGGTTTTTCTAGGCAAATTTACGTCCAGTAGTTTGCCATTGCTTCCTGGACGGTCGGCTTTCTTGATACCACTGTCGAAACCAACGCAAGGCTCATGACCCGCAGCTAGAATCGAACCCGGCATTACGAAGCGTTCGCATCGACTTAGCCACAGAGCCGACATTCTCCTTTATAACTTTACTAAATATGTTTTCCTAAGGTCTTATGTAAGTAAAAGTAAAAGACCCTTTTCTACGCCTTTAGCCATATAGGGCCAGACCTCTTTACAGACTAACGGCACAAGATGGGTGATGTGGTCAGCATCACGCCGTCCGCCTCTACTTCACTGGATTGCACCCGGTACCCGCTCAAAACTGGGTCGCCAAGGTCATTTTTGAAGAAAAGTCCGGCTCCGCCAGAGATCGAACCCACTACCTTCCGATCCGTGGTGCGCGTATAGCCGCTCTGCCACGGCGACTCCCGATGGTCTTATGTGACCAATGTAAAAGGGTCATTCGACCCACACAAAAAGGGGTTGCGACCGGCCTGTTAAGAACTGCTACTCTTAAACGAACAGTGGTGAAACAATCCAAAGACGCTGCGCTGAATTCGGTTCATGATACCGACAAGGTTTCAGAGGCAATAATTAAATTATGGAACAGACCTTAAAGGTTAATGTGATGTTGACATCCTTACCTAGCGATTGGTCTAAATAATTTAGGTCGAACCCTATATGCTGGAAGGATGTACTAGTAATATATCAAAAATACCCTATTCAACCCTCAAGGTTATATTAGGAATATTTAGTTAACTGAGTTCTCAGAGTATATGTTTGTTATTTTAAATGTGTATATCCTGTAATTATTTATATGACTCCCCGTATGGGTTCTGGGCCCCATTATTGAGAAAACAAAAATCGATCTACTGCCTACCCAACAAGTATGTCGTAAGAGTCGACTAAATGGGGGCTTCCTTCGAAGTCGAAGTGCATAAGCCTGTCAGACAAGGAACCAACAATCTGCATAACCATATGTAAAACATGTAAAACTGATGTGCACGCAACATTAGAGTTCTGGAACAAAACTAAAGTTAAGAAGTGGACGAACAACCCCCGAAGGAGTGGAAAAGAGTTCTTTGAGAGCCCTTTGTAAGGCACAGAAGGATGATGATAATGATGCCGACAAATTCGAAGTAGCCTGCTATCTAGGTGAGTGCCTCCACTCTTTAACAAACAACGAGCTTTGTCTGTTTTTTTACCACCTCTAAGCGGTACCTGAAGATTTGACCACACCTGCAATAACAAGGGTTTGAAGGTTCGAACACCGGATCAACATCATGGCACACCGGTAGTAACCCATTAGTGCTCCGTTCTTCTTCTAACTCAAGTCTTAGCCTGAAGAAGCTCAGCACAGTGCACAGGCTCTGTAGCACCGGCGAGGAGCCTAAAATACTTTAGGTAGATTTGTAACTCCACATTTTTGTTAGGCTACTCTTTTCGATTTCCAGCTTCCACTAGATTTTTTACGTGCGCAGCAATGCATACTGGCATTTGATCAAAAGACCAGGGAAATTACCAAAGACCAGGGAAATTATTAGAAGTCCAAGTCCACGTGAAAAAAATCCTGCCCTTACTGGGGACTGAACCCAAAACCTCTAGCATCAACAAACAAAATCCCAGATACCCCATATGAACCTTAAAAAAAAAAGGGCAGACAAAATGACTACAGATGTCAACCAACTGCATTCTGCAGGTTTCATCTGGCTGGTGAATTGTTACAGGGCCTTAATTATAGCTTCTGTAGAGTTGATTTTATTTGATTTGATTCAAGAACCGACATCACAGCAGTCGGGGCATTACCATAAGCGCTCCGTTCCCATCTTCAGCAGCCAGCGAAGAGTTCTGATACTAATAGTGCCAGTAGCATTCTGATTAAACGTCCGTCTTGCCTTTCCTCTGAGCCTCAAACATCTGCCAGAACCTCTCGTCACTCCTCCCTGCATCAATCTCACCAGACTGTGGTGATCCATCTGCTCCTCTGAACTGTACAAGGCACTAACCACGTCTGCCTTATCATGCATCAGTATTCCACCAAGCTGTGCAGAGCCAGCCAGTCTGTCCGCCTGTTTATTTCCTAACACACCTGCGAAACCTGGTAAAAAAATCCAGACAATACTCCCCACCCGTGTCTTCCGCAGCGAGGCATGAAACTGCACGAAGATTGCCTGTCCTGATCTTCCTCAGCATGCTTTCTGAGTCATTTACAATCACAATGTGTGTGTGTGTGTGTGTGTGTGTGTGTGTGTGTGTGTGTGTGTGTGTGTGTGTGTGTGTGTGTGTGTGTGTGTGGTGTTCTCTAGCCAGCGGAAAGCTGCAGTGACCGCATCCACCTCCATTCTTAAGCTGGATGTTGTGGTATCATATGCTAGGCTCTCCTGCACCAAATGTCAATCCATTAACTTTTGTTAAGAAACCCAAGCACTTCTTTTGCCTCTTGACACTGAACCGTCTGTGTAAATGATCAAATCTTCTAAGCGAGCTTTATCTTGAATTAGTTGCTGAATTTCCATCTCTGTGGCACCTGCTGGCCAGTCTCTGCATTCCCGGCTCAGTGTGATTATGACCCTACACAAGTCTGACTGTTCAGGTGGCACTTTAACCCACTCCTCTCCTCGCCTAATGTTCTCAAGGATGCAAACCTGCCTGATTGTGTCTTCTGCCTGAGCCATCCATGACCTCCCTCTTATCAGCCTCTGACCCCTAACTGCATCCAGAGCTTCGTACAAAGGGTGGTCTGTGCGTGGTTTTTTTTAAGGCAATTTACGTCCAGTAGTTTGCCATTGCGCCTGGACGGTCGGATTTCTTGATATCACTGTCGAAAGCAACGCAAGGCGCATAGCCCGCCGTTGGGATCGAACCTGGCATCCCGGCATTACGAAGCGTTCGCATTGACTTAGCCACAGAGCCGACGCGAAACTATCAGGGGCTGCGTTTCGAAAACTTGCATCATATCGAGAAAATCTACTGCACTGGGCTAATAAAGACTTGGGAAATCTAAGACCCCGTGCAAAAATTCGTGTTGATCCGTACAAGAGTTTATTGTTGAAGTGTGAGAGCACGAGTTTTGAAAGGTATTCTACTATTTATCCTGTAAGTAAAGTAAAAGTATAGGACCCTTTCCACGCCTTTAGGCGTATAGGGCATATAGGGCTAGACCTATATTTTTATAGACCAACGGCAAAAGATGGGTGATGTGGTCAGCATCACGCCGGCCGCCTCTACTTCCCGGGATGGCACCCGGTACCCACTCAAGACTGGGTCGACCTGGGAGCCAAGGTCATTTCTGAAGAAAAGTCCGTCTCTGCCAGGGAGCGGACCCACGACCTTCCGATCCGCGGCGCGCGTATTTATCCTGTACTAATATTAATTTCCTACTGTAGCATGTTGAGGGAAAAACTGAGCACCCACGGAAATGCCCGGAGTACTGAGAGGATTTCTGGATACTGACCAATGAGCGGTCCCCGTTAGTAAGTTCCGGTTATGAAATTTGAAATGCAGAAGTTCTAGTCTGCTCCGAGCGAGGAAGGTTTCTTGGGGGAAGGCGTCTGATTTCTCACCTAAAATGACTACCGTGGCTGCTAAAGATGACAAAAAGCCAAAAGATAATATTCCCGATATACTGTGTGATCCAGGAACTGGTAAACGATATTTGAGAGGACGGTTTCTGGGCAAGGTGATTAATGAATTGTCCATTCATTTGGAAGAATTGTTGAAGTTTGAAGAAGCTGAAAGTTGATTCCGCTATAGATAGTGTTTGAACTGTTTGCAATTCCCCCCTTCTTTTTAATTTATATTCTCTAATTTTCAATTTGATTTCTCAATGTAAATTAATTACTTGTTCGATGCTCATTTCTTCGCGTTCGTTCGGCTGCTGTAAAACTGCGGCGGAAAGTTCTGGTTCACCTCTGAACTTTCAGTGAAAGTTTCACTTTAGTCTTAATCTTATTCCAGTTCCAGAACTTGATTACTTGAATTTCGCGTGCACATCCGTTTTAGTTTTAGACATCTGGATTATTTGTATGCACGCTGCTGGTTTTTCGCCTCTCAGGCAGATGCACACCATCTAGGATAAAGTAAGTAGAAGTAAGTTTTCCACACCTCCAGGCCTACTGGGTTCTCCTTCGATCCCCCCCCCCCATATTATGTATGGCGGCCAAACAAATATCCTAATACTAATAGGGCCTCAGTCCTATGCAAAATGCGGAGTTCCTGCCCAGGAACAAATCACGGCAAAACTAGGATCGGCTCCGAAAAACGAGCCAATATAATCAAGGACAAACAAATGCTCTAACAGGGTCTCCGCATTATGTTAATTGTGGACCTGTTTCTGCAACTGTGCCGCACTGTTGACAGTAACCTGTGCGCAGCGCGGATTGGGTGAAATAAGATGGCTGGAACTCAAGAGCAGCAGCTACAGCATCTCCTTTTAGATCCCCATCTGCGCCGCGCGTAGCAGCGCGGGGAATACTGTCGGCTGTGAGTTTAACTGCATTTTGTGCATGCCAAAAAGTGTGAGGATGATGACGCTAATTTGCGTCAGAACGCATGGTCTCCCCGCCATGTCGCTATTATCAAATGTAATGTTGCATGTCTTGAAATAGTCCGTGATGTGTTCGTCGGAGGAAGTCAGCATTTTACACACGACTATGACCCTGTTAAGGTATTTTTTTGGCCGCCATAATATTGGGGGGAAGATCAAAAAGGAGAACCGACTATTGGGCGTGTAGGACTAGACCTATATTTGATAGACCATTCAGCACTCGGTGGGTGCTGTCATGTGATCAGCATCACCCACCTGCCTTTTCCTTTACTTCCCAGGACCTAACCTGATAACCTTTTAAGGTTAGGTTGACCTGGGAACAAAGTCTCCAATCGACCAATGATCTTCGGATCCTTAGGTGAGCTTTATGTCACAATGCATTTAATTTATTATCTGTTGTTCAAATTCCTTGTTTCTGTTTTGTAAGCATTGCTTATTTCTTATGTAAATAGGGAGGTTTTGCCAAATGTTACGAATTGACAGACATGGACAACAAGGAAATCTGGGCAGGCAAGATTGTTCCAAAGACTTTGCTTGTAAAACAACACCAGAAAGACAAGGTATACTCTTTGAAATAACTCTATCCGTTTTTGTTTGTTTCATTTCCTAGGAATAACTTAAGATGTTGCTATTCATGTTGAAATGCTCTAGAAAGATTCCCAGACTGCCGTGGACCAAGAAGACAAGAAATACTCACATCCTAAAAAGATCTGACAGTCAAGCAGGATTGGCTTGTATACATCATCTTGCCTTGGAAACTAACATGTTTGTGCCATATTAAGCGCCATGATGGATTGGACAGAACATTAGCGGAGGGCAGGAGCTGACCAGCACAAGGATGGGCACAGGATATAAGTGACACCTTGAATAAGAAAAAGCCAGAGGCAGTAGGGCTGGCAAAGACTGGATTTCCCACAGAGGGCTGTGATGAGTGCCATCTTCTGTAAATTACCTGCTACATGATGACGAGGAATTCTGCTAACTTTAGCATGAATAGTATAAGTGCATATAGAAAGAAAAAAATTCACACCAATATTGTTGAATAAGAAGTAGAAGTGCTTTTTTAAAATCCTACCCCAGGACAGTCCAACATTCTAGAGTTTGATAAGACTGGGTTTCCCGGCTTTCTGATGCTTTTAACGACTCCAAAACATCTAAAACTGGCCCCAGCTCCAACCCACCTATGTTCCACGAGAGAGGGCAGCCTAGGTCTCACGACTGCATGCAACCTATTTACCACCCCTGTGACCTGTGAATTTCCCCTGTTTGTGGTAAGATATTAATAAAGCACCAAAGTAGACTACGAGGCAGACCAAGATGATTGGATAGAGAATATACATACAGACCTACAAATGCTTGGAGTCACTTACTGGAAAGAGAAGGCCAGTTACAAAGATGAATGGAAGCATGTGATAGCTGCAACAATGGACCTCAAGCACTCAGAATGCTGAGGAAGAAGAACTCATGCCAACTCTGAAATAATTATATCTTACTTTTTTTGCTTCCTGTGAATAATCTTAAAATGTCAAACTACTATTCATGCTGTTATGTTATCTTTCCACAATCATTGTCACTGTTTATATATGATTTCAACTGGCCGGTTCTGCACCACTTGGTAGTGAGCTGATGTATGACAAGCTGGATATTGTGAGAGCCCTTTGGGAGCGAGTGAGCAGTGCTGAGGCACAGATAGATCATTACTGTCTGAGGAGAATGGCACTGCGAGGAGAGGTGTTACAAGGAGACCAAGCTGACGCTCGACACTCAGGGGAAAGGCGAGATGGATATACAATCAGACAGTTACTGGTACCATCAGAATGCTGAAGATGGAATCAGAGTGCTTATGGGGGTGTCCCAAGGTCTGTGATGTCGATTCTGAATTCAACATTCAACATATATGATTTCAAGAAATAATTTAGTTACTGTAAATTGCAGTGTATAAGTTGAGTTTTTAAGCAAACAGATTGTTCCAAAACTAGCAGTCGACTTATATGGTGGATATTAATTGTGTAAGGTAGGTATAGGCTTAACTTAGAATTAGGAGCTAAACATTTTGAGGTCGACATGTACTCCCCAATTTACAATATTTAAATGCAGTCTGTCAGAGTTTATATTTTTTAAATGAGACTCATAAGCACATTTACTTTGCAAACACCGTAAGTGACCATTTCTTGTGATCCTGTGATGCATCCGATAAATTTTACAGTACCATTGACTGTCTATTTTCTCTGTATAGATGGCGCAGGAGATTGCCATCCATCGTAGCATTGGCCACAGGCATGTGGTTCGGTTCCATACCTTTTTCGAGGACAGTAACAATGTCTACGTTTTGCTGGAGCTGTGTCGCAGACGGGTATGTTTTGTTAAATCTAGCTTTTGAATGAACGGAAAAGATTTAATTGATTTTATCTCGACTGATTACCTGTGTAGATTCTAAGACCCCACTTTTTGTGTGGGTGGGGGGGGGGGGGGGGGAACCCACTGTTCTCTATCAAGCACATTATAAAAGTAAAATAGTTAGGAGTTGCTGAAATTGGACGTGTTGGGCCAAAAAGCACATATGTTGCAGTCTAGCTGTAAACCGCCACACAAGTTGTCAAATGCTCTTTTAAGAGTGAACACAGATTATTATTATTTCAACAAATGAAATAGTCTCATAGGATATTTTACAAATATTTGACAATTTACATAACTCAGCAGGCATTGAAAAGGGAATCAAATGGAAATGAGAACATCCAAGTAAAACTGTAAAAACTGTAAGACTAACGTGGTTTGAGAAGGTGCTGTGATGAATTCCATCCTCCCCGTGTGGGCTCCGGGGCCCTATCGCAGGGAAAACAAGAAAATACCTACTGCCTATCTACAGGCATGTCGTAAGAGCTGACTAATTTAGGGCTTCCATCGGAGTGCATCTTCCTGAAAGGCAAGGAACCAACAGTCTGCATACAGATGAGTCTGAGATATGTAAAACGGATGCACACGCAGCACTCAGGTTCTGGAACCTGTACTGCAGTCCAGAAGTGGACGAACAACCAGAACTTTCCTCGACAGTTTACAGCCGGTGACAATAATTACATCCATGATATTGGAAAAAAGTGACACAGGATAGAACAGAATGGAGGAAAAGACAGGGTGCCTTGTGTGACAAATACAAGAGCCCATTAGCAGACTCAACAGGAAGCAACATTCAACAATCTTCCGCCTACGAACAGGACACTGTAGGCTGCTGAACACATTCTGTGCAGACCTGCCCACTCTTCCTACAACTTTGAAAGGACACCTGGCCTCAAGAGCAAAGTGTGCAGAGCAAGCTGTGGGGAACCATGAAGAACATGCTACTGACATGCGAGTTCAGAGAGGCAAACTGCCTGATGGTCTGATCTGAGCATCCGAAACCGAACACGAAGAAGAAGTGTGATAAATAGATAACACACGACAGGATGATGATGACACAAAAACAACTGGAAGAAAATGCAGTTTAAAAACAAACATTCAGAAAGTAATTCATTCAACGGCAGTTTGACTTTTTTTTTTTTAACTTAGAATGTTGAATGTATATTTTCCCCATGTGAGTTCTGAGGTCCCATTGGGGAAGATGGGGTGCATGCCATAACAAATGACTAATTAGAATTCTGCCACAATCTGATGTTAGGGGTCGAAAGGTGCATATATCTTAGCTTAGCTGTAAACCACAACGCAGTATGCGCCCACCCTTTTATGTGCGAACACAGAAGGTGATAAGAATTTATGTGTGGATATATGAAGGTCATATTTCATGGAAGAAGAAGTCTTTGTAATGTCGGAGTGCCGGGTTCGATCCTAGCTGCGGGCCTTGCGCTGGTTTCGACAGTGGCATCGAGACGCCGACGGTCCAGAAAGCAGTGGCAAACTACTGGATGTAAACTTGCCTAGGAAAACCACAACAGCTAAAAAATGCTGGGGTTGGTTTTGCAGCATCCTGTATAGGATACGAAACTAACTATTTCATGGAAACAGACACAATCAGATGCAGAGTTTCTGATAAGATTGACAGGTTTAAGGTTTGACCAACATGGCACACGAGTAGTAACCCATATGTGCACCGTTCTTTTCCTAACTCAAGTCTGAGTCTGAAGAAGCTCAGCACAATGCACTTGCTCTTTAGCACTGGCTCAACAGTACACATGGGGGTCCGATCTTACTACCTAGAGACCAGGGGGAATTACTGGAAGTCCGAGTCCACAGGAAAAAAATCCCAGCTCTTCACAGTTATTGAACCCGGAACTTCCAGCACTCGAGATGCACACCGTGTCTCGAGACCATGCAGCCCCCTGATAACATTGACAATGATAATAGAGTTGCTGAAAGAAATAACAAAGAGAGAAGTAAAATGTTTTTTCCCACATTATTTTTCTGCCTTTATAACCCCAGTGGAGCACAGGCCCTGAACCAACTCACGCCATGTTGTTCTAGCCCTGGCTAGATGTCTTTAGGCGACCCCAGTGAAAGGGTCGTTCCACCCCCAAAGAGGTCACAATTCGCAGGTTAAGAACAGCTGTTATTGATCCATTGCCCCTCCCCCCAAACAAGTGTGTCACAAAAGTCGAGTGGTTCGTGGAGATTCAACAGCTTTGCACAAAGCTAAAGCTAATATCGTTATCCTTTTTATTCCAGTCTCTAATGGAACTACACAAGAGGAGAAAGGCAGTGACAGAACCCGAGGCGCGGTACTTCATCAAGCATATCACCGAGGCTTGTCAGTACTTACACAATAACCATATCATACACAGGGATCTCAAGCTGGGCAACCTGTTCCTCAATGATAACATGGAAGTGAAAGTCGGAGACTTTGGCCTGGCAACAAAATTAGATTTCGACGGGGAGAGGAAAAAGTAAATTGTCTTGTTTTATTTTATTAAGCGTGTCAGTGGGTCAAGCTGGGGCGTAATGCGGTTTTAGATGTTAAATGGACTGTAATTAATGACCATGGGAGTGATCACATACCATGTTCAGTCCTGATTTCTAAACCCAGTAAGGTTAAGGCTGGGAGAGCACGCAAAACTTTCCGGTATAAGTGGACCAACATCCTATTTGAATGCCTCAGACAGGGAGCATGCAACAGAACTGCCAGAACAAATTTTCTACAGCCCCCATGGTGGACTCCAGAAGTAGAACAGGTCTGGAAGGCAAAGAGAGCCGCAGTGAAGCAGCTAAAGAAAGTACGACTGACACCCTCAAGCTCACAAGAGTAAGTCCCCCGTGTGGGTTCCGGGGCCCTATTGTGGGAAAAACAAGAATAGACCCACTGCCTCCCCAAAAGCATGTCGTAAGAGTCGACTAACTGGGGAGCTTCCTTTGAAGTCGGAGTGCATCTGCCTGAGAGGCAAGGAACCAGCAGTCTGCATTCAATTGAATCAGATCTGTAAAACTGATGCACACGCAACACTCAGGTTCTGGAGCAGGACTGCAGTGGACGAACAACTAGAACTTTACACCAGAGTGTACAGCTAGTGAACGCAAAGAAGAAGAAGAAGACAAGAGTAAGTGGAGATGGCGGAGAATGTGCAAAGAAAAGATCGGCCTATGACAGTGGGAACAATTTGTTGAGACAATAGTGTGCGTATGACAACAGACAAGGAGAAAAGGGAGGCTTTTTTCCATAGGTTTAAAGCTCAGACAGATTATAATGATGTAGACATCAGGGATGCAGTTAGGAGTTAGCTGGCACCTTAAAGAATATGCACTATGAAGACATGATACGAGTAGAAGATATTAAACAAATTTTAAGAATGGCAAAAGACACTGCACCAGGTCTCACGATAGATGGTAGAAACATCAACAGAGAGAGCAAACTGAAGTATCTGGGGATTACATTTGACAGGAGCCTGTCATTTAAGGACCATGTGGAGAGTGTTGTGACGAGATGCCAAAAAGGACTTGGTGCACTTAAGACTATGGCTGCAATTGACATAGAGCAGAGAATGCTTTTCACACTATATCAGCACCTGATCTTGTCAGTGGTTGATTATGGCCTGGGGCTGCTTACCGTCTCAAAGAGTCAGATGGACACACTAGAGCGCATAGAGAGCATAGTTATGCGGGTCATTTTGGGTTGCACCAGAGACATCCCAGTGGTGTGTATGCGATACATCCTCGGTTTGCCGACTATTGCAGGTAGGCACAAGGTGCTGCAATCGAAGTCATATCTCAGGGCAGCTGCAGACACAGATCACCCTTTGCACGAAGCTCTGGGTGCAGTTAAGGGTCAGCGGCTGACAAGAGGGAGGTCATGAATGGCTCAGGCAGAAGACCCAATCAGACAGGTTTGCACCCTTGAGAACATTAGGTGAGGAGAGGAATGGGTCAAAGTGCCACCTGAACAGTCAGACTTGTCTAGGGTCATAATCACGCTGAGCCGGGAATGCAGAGACTGCCCAGCAGGTGCCATGGAGATGGAAATTCAGCACCTAATTAAAGATAATGCTCGCTCAGAAGATTTGATCATATACACAGACGGTTTAGTGTCAAGAGGCAAAAGAAGTGCTTGAGGTTTCTTAGCAGAAGTTAATGGATTGACATTTGGTGCAGGAGAGCCTAGCATATGATACCACAACATCCAGCTTAAGAATGGAGGTGGAGGCGGTCACTGCAGCTTTCCGCTGCCTAGAGAACACAACACACACACACATCGTGATTGTAATTGACTCAGAAAGCATGCTGAGTAAGATCAGGAAAGGCATACTTTGTGCAGAGTGGCATGCTTCGCTGCAGAGGACACAGGTGAGGAGTATTGTCTGGATTTTTTCACCGGAAAGCGCCAGTGTGTTGGGAAATAAACAGGTGGACAGTCTGGCTGGCTCTGCACAGCTTGGTGGAATACTGATACATGATAAGGCAGACGTGGTTAGGGCCTTATGGAAGAGCATGTACAGTTCAGAGGAGCAGATAGATCACCACAGTCTGGTGAGTTTGATGCAGCGGGGAGTGACGAGAGGTTCTGTCAGATGCTCGAGGCTCAGAGGAAAGGCAAGATGGGCGTTTAATCAGAATGCTACTGGCACCATTAGTATCGGAACTCTTTGCTGGCTGCTGAAGATGGAGAGGGAGCACTTATGGAAATGCCCCGAGTGCTGTGATGTCGGTTCTTGAATCAAATTAAATCAAGAGTGTCAGTCGTTCGTCTGGTTTAATTAAAATGTAGATCTGCAGCAAAAGTTGTCATAAGATTTTGACAGGAATAGAATAAGGTCATAGGTCGTGGAATTGTTTATGTGAAAACCAAACTGGAATCTGTTCGAATAATTCATAAGTGTGATTACTAATTCTAGTGTTCCTGATCTTCTTCTTGGCGTTTGCTGGCTGTAAACTCTGGTGGAAAGTCCGGTTGTTCGTCCACCTATGGACTTTAGTCTTGTTCCAGAACCTGAGTGTTGTGTGCTCATCCATTTTACAGATCGGTCCAATTTGTATGCAGGCTGCTGGTTCCTTGCCTCTCAGGCAGATGCACACTAACTTCGAAGAAAGTTCTCAGCTGACTCTTATGGCATGCGTGTGGGGGAAGCAGTTGGTCTGTTCTTGTTTTCCCCAAAATGGTGCCCCAGAACTCACACGGGAAGTGTTGTTCCTCCTGATTCTCGTTGAAAGGTTGCATCCTTTTATGTTTGAATACATTACCCTTCATGCAACAAAGCCTGGCATATGATATCACATCTAGTATGTGTTTGGAGGTGGAGGCGGACAGTGCAGCTTGAGAACCAGCTGTACTCACATGTCATGATTGTAATTGATTGACTCACAAGGCCTATTGAGAAAGATAAAGTCAGGTTGGTTCTTAATTTATAACGTACCCCAAACACGAAATCCCCGTGGTAAATCCACAGCTGACCTGACAGTCCATTATTTAAAGGGGTGGAAGTGTGCTGTTGTGTTTTTTTTTCTTGAGTGTTCATCTAGTGTCTTCTAATCCTAACCCTAACCCTAAACTTGGCAGTAGATAAATCACGAGAAACTACAACCTGAACACCCTAGAATTTATTGGGAATGTCTCCCGTGACGTCAGGGGTAAGTTATAAATTAAGTACCAGTCAGGTTTGCTCTATGAGGTTTGGGGTTTTGATGGATCATGGCATGCGGGTGTAACCCATAAGTGCACTGTTCTTCTAACTCAAGGTTGAGTCCAAAGAAGCTCAAACAGTGCACAGGTTCTGTAGCACCGGCAAGGATCCTGAAATACTTTTCCCAGGGGGAAATTAATTGGAGGCCAAGTCCACGTGAAAAAATCTCAGGTCTTACTGGGGATTAAACTCAGAACCTCTAGGCTAGCACTCGATTTTGACACAGTACCCTAAGACCAAGCAGGCCCCGGTATGCTCCATGAAGAGGGGTAAGTATCGCTTTAGAAGTCCTGAGTAGTTTCCGTCCTTTAGATATTTTCTCACTGGTATACGGACGTCCTGGGAAATGAAGAGGCAGGGAGAGTGGCTGGTTCTGCACCACTTGGGGGTAAACTGATGTTATTATAAGGGTCCTTGGTGAGTGAGTGAACAGCGAGGAGGCACAAATTGATCGTTTTGGTCTAAAGAGAATGTTTCGGCAGGGAGTGTCCAGAAAATCAGGATAGCACTCAACAAAGGAAAGGCAAGACAGATTTACAATCAAACTGCTTGTAATATCGGAGGGAGGCTCTGCTGTTGGTGCCGAAGATGATGACAGAGCACTTGTGGATTATACAGATGGCTGTGATGTGGGTTTTAACTCATGTTTAATATACGCATGTCCTTAATGTGTTACCAGTGTTTTTTTTTTAAATGTGGTGCAACCTTCTTACCTGCCTTATATGTTTGCAGAACACTGTGTGGAACCCCAAACTATATTGCGCCAGAGGTGCTAGGCAAAAAGGGCCACAGTTATGAGGTGGATGCCTGGTCACTGGGTTGCATTCTGTAAGTTTAAAGTGATTCATTGTCTGTGTCTTTTATCTCGCATAATGGTGCGATATATATATCTAGTGTTGGACTGTTTGTGTTGGCACTTCTGACAGCGGCCTTTTACATTTATTGCATGTGTATACTATTGGCGTTTGTGGCTTCGGTGTTTCATAGTGCTAGGTTCAATCCCATCGGCAGGCGATTTGACGGCAGACCGCCTTGTGCCGGGTTTGGCAGTGGTATCAGGAGCTGACAGTTCAGCAAGCAATAGCAAATTACTGAATGTAAATTTGCCTAGAAAAACCACCACAGCCCCAAAAAATATGTGGTTGGTCTGCCACGTTCTGTAAAGGATACTCAACTAACTGCTATTAGATCTTTTGTGAGAGGTACCAGGACATTCTGCCACAGCTTACAGTCGGTGAATAAAAAAATAACAAGGAGTAAGGAATACTAACTTTAATACTAATCTGCTGATACACTTTTTGTGTGTGGGAAAAATAGTCATTTCCTCTGACTAGCAAAACTGGATCAGTTGGAGTACATCTGCCTACTGAGCAAGGAACTAACAGTCTGCATGCAAGTAAGCCAGGTCTGTAAAATTGATGTGCATGCAAAAGTCAAGTGTAGAGAGGCTCCTAGACCTTTCATGTTGGTGATGCTTTGTAGACAAACATAATCCCCGTGTGGGTTGCAGGGCCCCATTGTGGGTAAAACAAGAACAGACTCACTGCCTCCCCAACAAGCACGTCACAAAAGTTGACAAATTGTTTTTTTTTTTCCAAGTTGGAGTGCATCTGCCTGAAAGGCAAGGAACCAACAATCTGCATACGCAGATTCTAGGACAAGACTAAAGTCCAGAGGTGAACAAAGAACCAAAACTTTCAACTGGAGTTTACAGCTGGTGAATGAGAAGAAGGAAAAGAAGAAAACAGAACAAATGTTTGTATTGTTTAATAGTGATTGTCTTTTTTTCCCCGTTCTCCCCAAACTCAAAGTTCTGGAATGAGATGAAAGTCCAGAAGTGGACGAACAACCAGAACTTTCAGCTGGAGTTTACAGCCAGTGCAAGCCGGGAAGAAGAAGATTTCTACTACTTTGATGGCATCTATTGCTTTTGATGTTGAGTTTTGAACTCTTCCCCACAGATTCACCTTGCTAGTCGGGAAGCCTCCATTTGAAACCACCTGTTTGAAAGACACATACGAGAAGATCAAGAAAAATGATTACCATATTCCTTCGAAAGTCAGCCTCCAAGCCAGGAATCTCATCAATCGTCTGCTCAGGGCCAACCCTACTGACAGGCCCTCGATGGATCAGATCATGCAAGATCCTTTTTTCCAAGCAGGTAACTATGATAAGCACAGTTAGAGAAGGCAGGATCAGAAAGGACAATATCAAGATAAATAAGTTGGGACAGAACCAGTGCTAAACTATATCAAGAGGCAACAGGTAAAATGGGTTGAATGTTAAATAAAGAATCGACATAACAGCACTTGGGGCATTCCCTTAAGCACTCCGTCTTTAGCAGCAAGCGAAGAGTTCCAATTTCAATGGTACCATTAACTGTCTGATTGTTTATCCGCCGCGCCCTTTCCTTGAGTGTTGAGCGTCGGCCAGATCTGCTGGTAACTCTCATGCAGCACTAGTCTCCTCAGACTGTAATGATCTGTTTGTGCCTTCTCACTGTTCGCTCGCTCCCAAAGGGCCCTCACAACATCTAGCTTGTCATACACCAGTTCACCACAAAGTGATGCAAAAACGGCGAGTCTATCTGCCTGCTCATTTCCCGCAGCACCACAACAGATCAAATGGTTTGGATATGTGTCAAGACTAACTCCAGATATTACAGCACAGAGAACTCTTGTCACTTAGACACAATGGAAGCAGACCTAGAGGTCAACCACACAAACGGTGGGCAGATGGAATATCTGAGGCCATAAATACTAGCATCTAAGCAGCACATACCAAAACTTGCACCAGATTCCTCTTTAAAACATGACGATGAAAGGGCAGAACAGCTGATTAGGTTTGGTTTGGTTTATGCAATGGATCAACATCATGGCATAAGGGTAGTAACCCATAAGTCCTCCGTTCTACTTCCAACTCAAGTCTGAGTCTGAAGAATCTTACTGCAGTGCACGAACTATGTAGCTGTGACGAGGATCCTGAAATTCTTTGGGTAGATTTGTAATTCCAAAGTTTTGCTGGGACAACACCATTAGGCTACTCTTTTCGATTTCAACTGCCAAGGGATTTTTTTTTTTACATGCACACCAATACACAACGGTGTCTTATCTAACTACACAGAGACCGGGGGAAATTACTATAAATCAACTTGAAAAAATCCTTTCTTCCACGGGGGCCTAAACTCAGGACCTCCAGCACTCGAGGCTGACACCATGCCTTGAGACCACTCAGCTCCGCTAACAGCACTGATGAAGAATAAGAAGAAAACCCCAGTTCATCATCATAGATTTTCCATTTTTGCAGTTAAACGTCATTGACTAGAACAGTTTGCTATCTACTTCTTAGAGGGTCATACTGGCTACTGTCATTTCATGATCATGAAGAATGTAGATAATGTCATCAGTCCATCTTCTCCTTGGTCACTTTCTTGCTTTCACATTGAATCTTTTAAGATGTAGCGCCTGTGTTGATGCTTTTTGTTGCTGCATTTTAATGAGGTGGCTGAATCATTTGATCTTCTGCCTCTCAATGAAGTTGGTGCAAGGTGTTCCCACAGTCTGTCTGATAGTATCATTTCTCACTAAGTCTTCGATAGTTACCAATTTTCCTCAGACGTCTCATCTTTTATCTGTTTATTTTCAGTGTATGGGTTCCGGGGCCCCTATTCTGGGGAAACACCGTGGCCCCCTAATGTTTACGTCATAAAAGGTGACGATCCTATTCACAATGCCCAGCCCATTTACACACTGTCTGACCTTTCATTCATACTTTCTCAGACTCTCCTACGTCAGAGGGGTGTCACATTGTCTTGCCTCCAATTTCATCAATTTCATGCCGATGTAGCATGTTCTATATTACACAATGACACAGCTTTCAATGACCGCAGAACATCTAGAACTGACCCTAACTCAAACCCCCCTACCCACAGCCTGAGCCTAGGTCACACGAGAGACTCTTTCAGAAGAAAGAAGTACAAGGTGACATCCTTGTGACCTAGATCAGACTGACAAAGTGTGTAGATGGCCCGGGAAACTTGAACAGGTCCAAGGTGACTTAATGAGGGTTTGTTTCCTTCTAAGTCTGGGTGCGTCTGCCTGAGAGGCGAGAAACCAACAGTCTGCAAACAAATAAGCTAGATCTGTAAAACGGTGGTGCAGGCAGAACTCAAAGTTCTGGAACAAGACTAAAGTTCAGAAGTGGAGTTGACAGCCGGTGGGCAAGAAGAAGAAGTGTTTTAATTTTACAAAGACTGGCCTTTGATAATGTTCCAGTCTGACACTAATAGCTCAGTCTTGGTGCATGTTCTTGGCAGTCGTACTTATGGGAGATATCTTAATAATAATAGTCAACTGGTATATAAGCACACTAGTCTTTTGGTAATATGTTCAGTTGATGAATAAAATAAATATCAATGCACTTAGGACACACCATCTCTAACTCACACACTCTGCCTGTCTCTCTCTCTCTCTCTCTCTCTCTCTCTCTCTCTCTCTCTGTCTCTCTCTCTCTCTGTCTCTCTCTGTCTCTCTGTCTCTCTCTCTCTCTCTCTCTCTCTCTCTCACACACACACACACACACATTTCAAATAAGGAATTCCAGTGAAATTTGACTAAAAAAGCTTAACCAAACGAGGAAGTAGAAAAATGTGCACAAAACAACACAAATAATGTTTCGGCCGGTGTCCTTTGTCAAACATGAAGTAAATTTGACTAAAAAGCTTAACCAAATGGCGAAACAGAAAAACGTGCACACAAATAACGTTTAGAAAATTTGACTAAAAAGCTTAACATTCTACATTTCACTTCTACATTTCAAACAACAGTGAATGAAGTTTTAAGCAGCCAATGACATTTTCAACAACAGTGAATAAAATGTTAAAGTGAGCTAATATATCTTGCAGGCTACCTTCCCGTGCGTCTTCCAACATCTTGCCTGACTATGGAGCCTCGGTTTGATACGCTGATCAAAGAACACACCCAAGCAGGAGATGGCGCCACAGTCAGGAAACCACTGGTGGAAGTCAATGGTAAGTTGTTTGCACTACATGTTCTCATACTTGTATATTTGACTGAAGTACCTGCTCTAACCAGGGTTCGTAGGTGACCTTAAAACTTGAATTTAACCTGGAAATTGCATCATTGACCTGGAACAACCTTAAAAAAAAAAAAACTAAGGATACCTTAAAAAGTCTTGAAATCAATTGGTAAATTTGGCTATGAACCCTGTCTAACCCTCTCTTACTGGGAACACTAAAATCAAATTGGGTTATGACCCGTAGAAATTCCAGAAAAATAGTTTACACACATACACAATTATTTTTTGTTTACCAAGGTTACCAATAAATTCATTAAAAAATTTTGTATCTACATTAAAAAAATTTAAACATTAATATGCAGATATATGACAGGAGTAATCTTCTTCCTCACGTTCACCAGCTGTTAGCTCTGGTAGATTGTTCTGGTTGTTCGTTTACTTCTGGACTGCAGTCCTCTTCCAGAACCTGAGTACTGCATGCACATGTTTTACAGATCTGACTCATTTGTATACAGACTGGTGGTTCCTTGCCTCTCAGGCTGATGCACTCCGACTTCAAAGGAAGCTCACAATTAGTTGACTCTTACGACATGCTTTTGGGCAGGCAGTGGGTCTATTCTTGTGAGTGTTGGGCCTGAATTTTGCGTGTACATCCATTTTACTGGCTTATTTGTGTGCAGCTGGTTGTTTCTTGCCGCTCGGGCAGATGCACTCGGACTTTGAACGAAGTCCCCAGTTAGTCAGCTCCTACGACATGCTTGTTGGGGCGGCAGTGGGTCTGTTCTTGTTTTCGCCATAATGGGGCCCCGGAACCCACACGGGGACCTCCTTTAAAAAAAAAAAAGTTTAGTCTTGTTCTGATGTTCTCAGAAGGCCCAGACAGACCTGTTGCAGTGGAACCTGGGAAACAGGAAGTGGATGGCAAAAGTGACAAAGCAGTGGAATCTAAACTTCCGACACTGAAGATTGGCCTAAGCAGCAAAGGTACAATTATTATAATGATGTTGATAACAGTGGGGGGAAAATATATTAATATATATTTGTCATTTTTACTTCTTGTACCACTTTGGGTGCCAATGGAAATAAAGGTTTGAATTATTACGACAGTTGGTTACCATTCATGAATGCGAATTTCGTATCTTTTTAATTAATCTTTGATATTTTCATTTAGAGATCCAGTTGAAGAATTAATATCTGCTTTTTTCTTTTTCTTTTTTTAAATTTCGACTAATAAGGACCTCTTTAAGACCATTGGTGCATTGGATATATAACGATATAATTATATTTTTGTACACCTTATGTTTATGTTCATGTTTGTTTATTCGACGGATCAACATCATGGCACAGGGATGTAACTCATAAGTGCTCCGGTTTACCTTCTAACTCAAGCTGGAGTCTGAAGAATCTCAGCGCAGTGCACGAACTCTGTTGCACTGGTGAGGATACTAAAAATACTTTGGGTAGATTTTAAACTCCAAATTTTGCCCGGGCAGTGCCGTCGGGCTACTCTTTTCGAATTCAAACTGCCAAGGGATTTTTGTGTGTGTGCGCAAGAATACACACAGGGATCCGATCTGACTACCCAGAGACCAGGGGAAAATACTAGAAGTCCACATGAAAAAATCCCAGCCTTCACTGGGGTTTGAACCTGGGACCTTCAGCACTCGAGGTGGAAACAGTACCCCGAGACACCCCCCCCCCCCCCCCCCCCACCAATCCCCCAATGACATTCTATGTGTGAACTGATGAACATCATGCTGTCCCCCTTTACTTTCCAGGACACTCGTGTGTGTTCCGGGACCCAGTTTTAGGGGAAGACAAGAATAGACCCACTTTCCTCAACAACAAAATATCTCTTAAAAGTGAACTAATTAGGAGTGTTTCCTCCAAAGTTGGAAGTGCATGTGTCTGAGAGGCAAGCAGCCAACAGTCTGCTTACAAATAAGCCATATCTGTAAAACGGATGAGCACGCAAAGCTGAAGTTCTGGAACAAAACTAAAGTCCAGAAGTGAATGAACAACCAGAACTTTCAGCTGGTGATACAACAGGTGAATGTTTAGAAAAGAGAAAACTATGACCTTTTGTTCCCATGCTTGATTCTGGATTTTTTCTTCTAATAAATCCTTCCTATTTTCATTTAGTTATCCAGTTAACCATTTAATACCTGAATATTTCTGTTTCTGTTTTGTTTAATATTTTTTTTTTAAAGAGCTTATAAGCACCTTTTTTAACACCATTGGTGCATTGGTATACCCATATTTTGTATCAACCATTTAGCATTCCATGTGTGATGTGGTCAGTGTCATGCTGGCCCTCTTTACTTCCCAGGGCACATTTTTATGTAGCAGGTCCTTTGCAGAATGTTGCTCCTATCATGGTCTGCCTAAAAGACACTCAGTCTCTTTCTCTAGCTCTCTCACCTCGTGCACTTTCATATTCAAGGAGTCACTTATATCCCTTGCCCATCTTCATATTGGTCGGTCTCTGCCCCTCCTTCCTGGTACCATGCATTCTGCTATTTTTCCCCCCGCTGTCCGTCATAGCGCTATATGTGACCAAAATATTTCATCTTCCAAGACAGGATGCTGTTAGCCAATCTTCCTTTATTTTCATATCTTTTAAAATGTCAGGATTTTTTATCTTTTTTTTGTGTGTCCAAGATATTCTGATAATCTTTCTATAGCATTTCAGCTCTAAAGCCCCTGTCTTCTTTTCGTCACATGTTATCTTCATTTGCCGTCCTGTTTAAGATAAAAAAAATTTTGTTATTTGAAGCCCCACTCTGGCTTTTGCATGGTGGCATTTTGTGTCATCGGGTGTTTATCGCTTGTGTGATGTCCTGGTGGAGTAGAAAGTCAGTCAGTCTTCTTTCTTAAGGACTAGGAGATGGTCCATGACTCACATCCGTTTGTTGCTACAGAAAAGACGCATGCTCTCAAAATTGTAATTTTTATTTCCTTGTTGGTACTTAACGATAGACTTTTAAAGCAGTTTCATCTTTGCATTGCTATAGCCATCCTTTTATTATTTTTATTTTTTTAATTTCTGTTAAAACATTCTCAATTGTTGCATTTAAAGTGATAAAAAATAAGTGAGTTTTAATGTTTCATTGTTTAGAAATATTGACAAACATATTTACATTTTCAGAAGAGGATATGGAAATAGAGTATTTGTTAGATCTGGCTCGCCAGCTTTATTCGGTGTTATCAACCAATCCATCAGAAAGAGCTAACCCACAGTTAGGTAAAAGTTTTTGCTTATATCTGCTTTTTAATAAATCATCATCATCAAGTGGCTTGCTGGCCGGCATGGGCGATCGTGTCTTCCCACAATCTGCGATCTTCATTAGCACGTATTTAGCAAATGGAGCTGCGTAAATTTGATAATTTTGCATGTTTATAACCAGAGTAATCATAGTATGTTAAAATTATCACCTATAGATTCAGATGTATGTCATTAAACCTCTAGGAGATTTCTTGTTAACTGTAAAGTTCAGACTAATACTAAACTTAACATTTGTAATTCTTATGTCAAATCAGTTCTTTTGTATGGAGCGGAAACATGGAGAACATCATCATCATCATGTGCCCTGCCAGCTGGTGTAGGCGCTCGTGCATCTCCACAGATCACTATCCCTGGTTGCCTGGAACAGCTGTCTTGATGATATCCCTCCATGCCATCGTTTAGCCCATCCAGCATCGTCTTTCTGGGTCTGCCTCTACCATTTTTTCCACTGATCTTTCCAGCTGTCACGATGTTTTCCAATGTCTCTTCTCATTATGTGGCCAAAGAACAGTGTTTGTCTCTCTCTTATTGTTGTATAAAGAGATCTACTTTCATTAGCTTCTTTCAAGCAATCATTGTTAGTTACTCTGGCCATCCAAGGTATTCGTAACATTCGTCTCAGAAACCACATCTCTCTTGCTTCCAAATTCTTCCTAATTTGTTCACTGACATTCCAAGATTCGCTGCCATACAGCAGAACAGGTTCTATTTAACATTTTAGCGACCTCTTTCTGACATTAAATGAGAGCTATTTATTGCATAAGATATTTGTCATTTTCTTAAATGCAGCTTTCGCTTGATCTATTCTGCTTTTAATCTCAGTAACACATTTTCCATATGATAATATGATTGTTCCCAGATATTTGAATTTATTGACTCATGGAGAACAACTAAGGCAATTACTAATAAACTACACACATTCATTAACTTGTGCCTGCGCAGAATAGAGGGAATTAAATGGCATGATAGAATCACTAATGTAGAGCTTTGGGAGAGAACTTAACAAGTTTCAGTGGACAAGAGATGAAGAAAAGATACTGACGTTGGATAGGACACACACTGAGAAAACCTGAGAGCAATATAACTAGAATGTCTTTGTATTGGAACCTATAGGGGCATTGGAAAAAAGGCTAGACACTCGCCTGCAGATCAGAAGGTCGTGGGTTTGCTCTCTGGCGGAGCTGGACTTTTTAAAAAAAATGACCTTGACTCCCAGGTCGACCCAGTCTTGAGTGGGTACGGGGTGCAGTCCTGGAAAGGAAAGTCAGCCGACATGATGCTGACCACATCACCTATCTTGTGCCCATTGGTCTACAAAATATAGGTCTAGCTCTATATGCCCTATACGCCTAAAGACGCGAAAAAGGGTGCTTTACTTTTTATTTGTGCTTGCAGATGAATGCGAAGATCCTGCAGCCATTCCGGTGTACTGGATCAGTAAATGGGTGGACTACTCGGACAAGTACGGGCTCGGCTACCAGCTGTGTGACAACAGCGTGGGGGTACTCTACAACGACTCCAGCAGATCTGTGCTTCTCAGCAATTTAGAGTGAGTATCTGAATGTTGAATTAAGAATCAGCTTCATAGCACTCGGGACACTCCCATAAGCGCTTTTTCACCATCTTTAACAGCAAGCGTAGAGTTCCAATTCCGATGGTACCAGTAACCGTTTGTTTGAGAGAATGTCTTCTTCTTTATCTTTTTCATGTTCACATTAGCTGTAAATTCTGGTGGAAAGTTCTGGTTGTTCGTCCTCTTTTTTTTTTTTGGGGGGGGGGGGGGGGGGGGGGGGGGAGGTACTTTAGACGTGTTCCACAACCTGAGTGTTTTGGGCACATCCGTTTTACAAATCTGACTTATTTTTATGCAGATGGTTGGTTCCTTGCCTCACAGGCAGATGCATTCCGACATTCCGACTTTGAAGGAAGTCCCCAAGTTAGTCGACTCTTACGATATGTCTGCTGGGGAGGCAGTGGGTCTGTTCTTGGTTTCCCTACAATGAAGCCCTGGGACTTGCCCGAGGAGTATGAGAGAACATGCGGTCGTCTTGCAGCATCTGCTAACACATGGTTGGAGGTCTCCAAGGTCAAGCCATTTTCCACATGTTCTGAAGGTCGTAGGTTCATTTCATGGCAGCATCGTTCAGTTCACGAGTTTAATTTCACTGAGATCCCTGGGAATCATCGATGAAGCTACAGAGTATGTGCTTTGTGTGTTGCTCTGCGGGGGTAGAACCCAGTGCAGTGAAGTCTGTCCTCACGCTATTGAGCTGATTCTTTTGTCTTCTTCTTCTTAAAGTCATTCTTTCCCTCTCACACCCTCCTTTCCTCTGTCCCTTCCAATAAAGCTTAGAGACTTAACTTGCCGCAAGCCTTTCTTTAGTAGTTTATAAATGTTTTCAGCCGAAGCTTTTTATGGGATGAGGTAGCTAACCCCAACATACAGCTTCCGCTGAAAACTAAATTATCATAAGATTTGAATGATAAATTTGGTGGAGGGAAACAATAAAGGGAGAAATGGATACAATAGATTTCAAAATATGTTTGTAATAAAGCTACTGAGCTGCTTGTAGTTTAATTTTTGTTTTTCAGATCTGTTCAGTACCTGTATGTACCACTTTGTTTAAAGGCTTTTTAATGAATAAACAAGCCAGACAATTTCTTCTGGCCTTGGAGCTGTGTTTTATGGGAGAATCCCTAGAACTCCGTGGACAACCAAAAAGAGCAACCCAGATGTTTTGAAAGAGGCGAGGACTCGAAGACAACTTATCACCAACATTTGAAAGAGAAAGTCATCATTTTATAACCATCTTATGAGAAGGAAACCACGCACTGAAAAGATCTGGGGAAAGAGAAACAGGGGAAGACAGCGCAAGAAGATTTTTGACAGACTTTTGTCGTTGCGTGGAAGGGTGTCGGCACACAAACTTATACATCCTGTTGAAGACTGCAAATAGTGAAGAGGCATGATCACCCACACCAGATGGCAAGGTATTTGGTGATGATGATGAGGATTTACCACTTTATGGACGGTTTAAGACGGGGGGTATTAAGCCTCAGCGAGTAGGGCCACAAGACTAATATAGTCACCGAGGACTATGTAGGTAACAGGGGGTCCCTGACAGGAAACAAAAAAATCTATTACCATACCGAGGGTTTTTCTTCTTCTGCAGTTACCCTTTTAAATGGGTGATTGGTCATTGTACTGTGGTTTCTGGCTAGGGACAATATCTGTGCCTTTCATTCACACAGAGGAAGGGCTTAGCAGAGTGTTGAGTTTCGAAGTTGTTTTTGCTTCCGACAGCGCTTTGCTAATGCAGTTTCCACATAAGGATAGTAGTCTGCAGTTTCGCTGCCTGAGCTACTGAGTTTGGTGCTTAGTTGCAGCCATGTGAGCTGTGTTTTTCCTATGGAGTGCCTTTCATTTACGCAGCTGTTGTTTTGTTTTGTTCAATATGGCCGGTGGCCGGTTTACATGTGAGCTGGTGAAATACCTTATGTAAGAATTCCACGTGTGTGAATGGTGGTGATTGTTGGCTTTGCCGCCTCGAGCAACTGAAATACCATATACTGCTTGCGCATATTTCTGGATTGTTCTGGAACTAGTTGTTTATTCACCAGTGTTTCATATGCAACAACGAGGGAAATTTCATTTGATTCGCACTGGCACAGGAACGCAGCAAGTATGGGGAAACCCGATTGTGGTGATGTTGAAACCTCGACCAACTAAACAGTGTCATTCGCACAGACACATCCAATTTCAGCCAACCTCTAATTAGCCGCCATTTATGACGTGCTTTTGGGGAGAAGGTTCTGGAGGTCCTAGGTTAATTTCATGGCCAAGAAGGAACAGGAGTTCTGTCCCCGCCCAGTGTGGTCCCAGAACACATACTGGGAATTAAGGACTCAAACCTGAGTTTCCCAGATGAGGGTTTAGCCACTTTACCAGCCACTGCTCTTTTAAATTTGAAACAAAAATTTAATCACACCTGCTAATATACTTTTCATGTGTTTGTAAGACATTGGTCATCGTTCATTTACAGATCATCTTTATCGGACATGACCATAAGTGCTCCGATCTCCTACTGAGTATGTCTCCAAGTTGTAAGACAGACACTGGGTTGTGTTTATTTTAATCGTACTCGTTTCAGAGTTTCTGCCGCTATTTTGCTTTTTGTGTGTCATTTTGCTTCTTCAGCCTTTGGTCGTTAGTAATATAATTCCCGTTTTTTTTTTAAATGACCAGAAATATGCATTACATCGAGAGAGATGGGCGTGAACATTATCACACCATACGTCAGTATCCAGAGGTTCTTTCTAAGAAGGTGAAAACTGCTGAAATACTTCAGGAACTACATGGACGAGCATCTTTTGAAAGTGAGTTTCTTTATTACCAGTTTCTAATAAGCAACTGTAATATAGAATGTAATATAGAATCTCTAATCACTAAATGTAATATAGAATCACTAATGTTGAGCTTTGGGAGAGAAACTAATTAAGACCAAGAGATGAAGAAAAGACACTGGCATTGGATAGGACATACCTTCAGAAAACCTGAGAACAATATAACTAGAATGTCTTTGCACCGGAACCCACAGGGGCATTGAAATAAAAGGCAGACCAAAAAATACATGAAGAAGGGAGCTGGAGAGTGAAGTTAAAAAGATGGGGAGGACATCAGGTGAGCTGCATGCAATAACAAATTCTTTGGCCACGTAATAAGACTGGAATCAGACAGGGCACCACAGAGAGCAGTGTTATTTAGATGCAGCGGTAACAGAGCCAGAGGTCGACCACGCAGAAGAGGACCACAGAAATATCAGAGACACTGAAAAGTACTTTATGCGAAGTGAACAGAAGGGACCGTTGCAGAGATCTTTTCCTGCCCTGACACCATGAGTCATTCCAGGAGAATTATTTCAATTTTCTGTGTTTCATCGTTTTTAATAGTCAACCTTCTTCAATATTCAGTTCTTGAAGTATGGACGCATTTGTTCTTTTCTTTACCCATGATATTCTTAGAACCCGTCTATAACATTTGTATTCAAAGGCATTTATGCGCTGTTCAGCTTGTTTAGTAAGTGTCCAGGTCTCACAGGCGTATCTTAAAAAAAAAAAGTAAATTTACTTGCCTACTGTCGTGCTGAACATTTATGCAAATATAATCAGTTCTGTTTGCTAGATGTCTCGTAATCATGTCAAATCAAGTCAGGAAAGCAGCTTTTATGTCCCCTTCTGGAATCTAGTCTTGTTCAAGAATCAGTGCTGCCTGCACGTCCGTTTTACAGATTTGACTGACATGTACACGGACTGTTGATTCCTGAACTCTCAGGCAGATGCACTCCGACTTCAAAGGAAACTCACAATTAGACGACTCTTAGGACATGCTTGTTAGGAGGTAGTGGGTTTGGTCTTGTTTTCCCCCCACAGTGGGACCCGGGAACCCACACGGAGATTTGCTTTTACTAATGTTAACATGTTAGCTGAACTACCAGACCACATTCACAATCTCTAAGCCCCAGACGCTGATGCTTGTGTTCATATTCCTTCTTATTTCTAATCGCAGACTGGTGCTGACGTGACTCCACGGGACTCTGATGAGATGATTCGACTACCCTTTCTCAGAACTTGGTTCCGTACCCACAAAGCAATTGTATTACTTTTAAGCAACGGCACTTTACAGGTAAGTTCTTTGAGCTGATTGTGAATTCTTGTGACAGTAAAAGGTGAAGGACCCTATTCCACGCCTTCAGATGTATTGGGGCATATAGGGCTAGACCTATATTTTATAGACCAATTGGCACTTTGTGTGATGTGGTCAGCCGCATTTACTTTCCAGGACTTTATCTGGTACTCACTCGAGGCTAAGTCGACCTGGGAGCCAAGATCTTTTTTTTTTTTTAAGTTTGTCTCCGTCAGCGGCTCCCAATCTTGTATGTCTTGTTCTGCCTTTCTGACCCTTAATGGAGCATAGACTCTCAACCAACTAACACTTGACAAATGAGGTAGTTCCCTTTATGAGTTCCACGGCCCCATTGTGAGGGAAACAAAAGACCAGAACCACTGTTTCCCTAACAAACATGGACTAATTACGGGCTGTTTTCTTCAAAGTCAGAGCGCCTCTGCCCAAAAGGTGAGGAACCAACAATCTGCATAAAAATAAGCCAGATCGTGAAACAGATGTGCATGCAAAACTAAAGTTTTGGAACAAGAGTAAAGTACAGAAGTGGGCAAACAACCAGAACTTTACAGCCGGTGCATGATGTAAAGAAGAAGAAGAATGTGTGGTGATGATTGTACTACTAATTGATTAAAAGATCACGAGACGAGATTGACATGGCGTGAGCTTTAAGAAGAATATTCTAATTTTTTTTTTAAAATTAAACATAAATTATCAGAAACAGCTACAGAAGTTAAAAAAAATGATTTTTACTTATAATTCATTGCCTGTATGAAAGCTTTGATTGTTTAAAATAGATGCCTGTTCTTTATTCTCCAAAGTGGAGCCTCGAAATCCGCAAAAGGAAACTTCTAAAGTAAACTGAGCTTTTCGTCTACATATCACCTTCTTAGTTAAACTGAGCATTTTGTTTACATCTCACTTCTTAATTAAACTCTGCTTTTACATGTCACCTGTTACATCAAACTGAACTTTTACATGTCACCTGTTACATCAAATTGAACTTTTACATGTCACCTGTTAAATTAAACTGAACTTTTACATGTCACCTGTTAAATTAAACTGAACTTTTACATGTCACCTGTTAAATTAAACTGAACTTTTACATGTCACCTGTTACATCAGACTGAACTTTTACATGTCACCTGTAAAATTAAACTGAACTTTTACATGTCACCTGTTACATTAAACTGAACTTTTACATGTCACCTGTTACAATATACTGAACTGTAATTATCACCTGTTACAATAAACTGGACTTTTATATATCACCTGTTAAAATAAACTGGACTTTTATATATCACCTGTTACAATAAACTGGACTTTTATTTATCACCTGTTACAATAAACTGGACTTTTATATATCACCTGTTACATTAAACTGAACTGTACATGTCACCTGTTACAATAAACTGAACTTTTTCTCTACAGATCAACTTTTTTCTAAACCATACCAAGGTAATCATATGTCCTCTAATGGCAGCTGTGACGTACATTAATGAAAATCGGGAGTTCCGCACATATCGCCTGAGTCTTATCGAGAAATATGGCTGCTCCCGTGACCTGGCTTTTCATCTAAGCTATGCTAGTGCTATGGTGGAAAGGCTCATGGCAGCTAAAAGAGCTGCGGCCCAAAAGGCCAAAACTTTAGTTTCCTAATTTTGCAATTTTTTTTCCCAGCTAGACTGCTGGCCAGGTACATGAAAGGCACACTGGCAAATGTCCTTTATGATCTCAGGTTTTCTGAAAGTCTACATTAGACTTATCATAAGAGTATCACTTTTGTGTTTTGTTTGCTTATTTGTAACAAAATTCTGCAGAATCTCCGGTGTCTAGTTTTCTGCAAAATCTCCTGTGTCTAGTTTCTGCAGAATCTCCCGTGTCCAGTTTCTACAGAATCTCTTGTGTCTAATTTCTGCAGAGTCTCTTGTGTCCAGTTTCTACAGAATCTCTTGTGTCCAGTTTCTGCAGAATCTCTTGTGTCCAATTTCTACAAAATCTCTTGTGTCCAGTTTCTACAAAATCTCTTGTGTCCAGTTTCTGCAGAATCTCCCATGTCCGGTTTCTGCAGAATCTCCCATGTCCAGTTTCTGTAAAATCTCTTGTGTCCAGTTTCTACAAAATTTCTTGTGTCCAGTTTCTGCAGAATCTCCCATGTCCGGTTTCTGCAGAATCTCCCATGTCCAGTTTCTGTAAAATCTCTTGTGTCCAGTTTCTACAAAATCTCTTGTGTCCAGTTTCTGCAGAATCTCCCATGTCCGGTTTCTGCAGAATCTCTTGTGTCCAGTTCGTAATCTAAAAAGGTTGGTCTGGTACTTTCCTTTGATGAGATTGATTATGTTTTCAGGATTCTGTCCTGGATCGGAAGTATTTCAGTGGGTTCTAAAGGCTGCCTTGAGCTGGGTTTTAGTTTCATCTCAAGTGTATCATATATCTGGCTGTTCTGTATTGCTCCCAACTGTTTCTAAGTCCAAGGCTTTTATTCCTAGAAAAAATAGTGCCGATACGCACCACAAAGTGTCTGATAAAAGGTGCCGATACGCGCCACAAAGTGTCTGATAAAAGGTGCCAGTGTCTGATAAAAGGTGCTGATACGCCCCACAAAGTGTCAGGTAAAAGGTGCCAGTACGTACTACAAAGTGTCTGCTAAAAGGTGGCGGTACGCACCACAAAGTGTCTTGTTTACAGCAATGCCGAAAAAAATTATGCTTTAGAAAAAATAAGCTGCTGGTACTGTGTTCTGTCGGGGAGAAAAGCCATAGCTAAAATGGCTACCAGGAATGTGGTATTCCTTCGCTGAATGCTAATTGGTCCATAAAAATAGATAGGGCCATCAACATTTGCCTAATAAATATGAGGCCTTTACATATTTGACTATTACATTGTGGGTGGCTTTTCTGCATTTCCGAATTTTGCCAAGGTGTCCGCCATTAAAGTAAGATGCCTGAGAAGTACTGCAGGAGTGGACAGGTGAGATCAAAGCAGGAATCAGGTCATAAGATATCAAACTGGCACAGAACCGATGACATACAAAGACAACAAATCAAATTGTTTGTCCAATTGAAGACAGTGTCTTGTGACGTAATACGATGCAGGATATACACAGAAAGAGGATGTAAGGCACGAGGTAGATCTAGAAAATATGGAAAGATAACCTCAGAGAAACTCAACAACAGCATGAGGTGTCTGCGGTCGAGGTGGCCAGGAGCAGAACCTTGAATCTCCTTCACTGCTGAAAGCAGTAAAAGAGGAAATAAAGAAACAATCTGCCAGTTAAGGCCTTCAAATTTAAGAGCAAGCATTTTTTTCCCCATTGTTAAAGAGAAGTAACCATACTTAATATTGATGAGATGAAAAACCTCACCTGATCAATGCAGTGTTTTGATTGGTCGAAAGGTATTGGAAAGCAAACACGAGGAAAAAGTCTGAGAAAATTGTATCTTTTGTGAACATATCTGGTGTGGGTTTTTTTTTTTTTTTTTTTTTACAATGCGAGAACTGTTTTTTGTTATTAATTTGTTTAAAATGATATTTGCAGGGAATTTAAGGCAAGTTTTCTTTTTGTAAATATTTTGTTTACCGATTTGACTGACTGACATAGGGTAATGTTTTTTCCCCAAGATACAGAACTGACATTGTTTTTCCTCATGTTTATAGGCTGATAAACCTAGGGTGATTAAAAAAAAATTTTTTTTTTTCAAATCCTGTTCTTTACTGATAAACTGTTTTCTCCCTTATTTTTTATAGATTCATAGACAGGCTAGTGTCTTTCTCATATTTATAGATTCATAGACAGGCTAATATCTTATGTTTATAGATTCATAGACAGGCTAATATCTTATGTTTATAGATTCCTAGGCTAGTGTTTATGTTTACAGATCCATAGACAGGCTAATATCTTATGTTTATAGATTCATAGGCTAGTGTTTATGTTTATAGATCCATAGACAGGCTAATATCTTATGTTTATAGATTCATAGACAGGCTAATATCTTATGTTTATAGATCCATAGACAGGCTAATATCTTATGTTTATAGATCCATAGACAGGCTAATATCTTATGTTTATAGATTCATAGACAGGCTAATATCTTATAGATTCATAGACAGGCTAATATCTTATGTTTATAGATCCATAGACAGGCTAATATCTTATGTTTACAGATTCATAGACAGGCTAATATCTTATGTTTATAGATTCATAGACAGGCTAATATCTTATGTTTATAGATTCATAGACAGGCTAATATCTTATGTTTATAGATTCATAGACAGGCTAATATCTTATGTTTATAGATTCTTTTGTTTATAGATCCATAGACAGGCTAATATCTTATGTTTATGGTCATAGGATTCATAGACAACAGCAAATATCTTGTGTTTATAGATTCATAGACAGGCTAATAGATTATGTCTAATATGTTTTTAGATTCAGGGTAGTGTTTATGGTCATAGATTCATAGACATCTCATGTTTATAGATTCATAGACAGGCTAGTGTATTCTCATCTCATATTTATGGATTCACAGACAGGCTAGTGTCTTTCTCATGTTTTATTGATTCATAGAGAGGCTAGTGCTTTTCTCATGTTCATAGATTCACAGACATATCTTTCTCATGTTTATAGATTCACAGACAAATATCTTTCTCATGTTCATAGATTCACAGACAAATATCTTTCTCATGTTCATAGATTCACAGACAAATATCTTTCTCATGTTCATAGATTCATAGACAAATATCTTTCTCATGTTCATAGATTCACAAATATCTTTCTCATGTTCATAGATTCACAGACAAATATCTTTCTCATGTTCATAGATTCACAGACAAATATCTTTCTCATGTTCATAGATTCACAGACAAATATCTTTCTCATGTTCATAGATTCACAGACAAATATCTTTCTCATGTTCATAGATTCACAGACAAATATCTTTCTCATGTTTATAGTCTGGTGAACATAGGGCAGGTTTTTTTTTTCTTCTTTTATTTTGGTGATGGTCTTTAGCAACAGTGCTTTTTGTTGTGTTTTTCAATTGACAGGAACAGAGCAGTGTTTGACTTATGTCCTTAACTGACAGACATAGAAAAGTGTTTCTCCCTCACGTTCCTAATTGACAGATATAATACAATGTAGTTCCCCTTGAGTTGGAGGTGTCATTTTTCTATTGTCCACAGAATCATTGCGGCTATTATTGCCATCACATGACTGTATTTTGACTGACAGTCATAATTTAGGATTTTCTATAATTTTTCACCATTTTTGGAATGTAACGTGTTTTTCTACCAGTGCCTTTTGTATTGATGAAGCTACTTACGGAGCACATTGCTTCAGTTTTGCTGTTTATGAATCCTGTTGTGTGCAAGTAAAAATGTTTCATTATAATTGTGTCTGGAATGATTATTTGTGATGAATGGCAGGTTGAGTTGAGTTGAGATGAGTCAATAATTGACATCACATCACTCAGGGCATTCCCATCTGTGCTTCGTCCTCCCCTTCAGCAGAGTTCCAGTACTGATGGTACAGGTCACAATCGTTATATGTCCGTCTTGCCTTTCTTCTGAGTGTAATGAGCCAGCCAGACCCTCTGGTTACACCCAGGTGCCTCATTCTCTCCAGGCCATAATAATCTTGTTTCTCTACTGATTCCGTTGCTTGTTCCCAAAGGGCCTTAACCACATCTTCCTTGTCATATTTCAGTTCACCACCCAGTGGTGCAAATCCAGCCAATCTGTCTGCCTGTTTATTACCCACCATGCCAGGATAGCCTGGAGAAAAGATCCAAAATATGATCACTACCTGTGACCTTCCCAGTTGAATGGCAGGTTTTCTGTTGTTATATGTCATGAATTCTTGTGCTAGATAAGTTTGCTAGACCAGAGTTCCCAAACAGTGTGTCACGACACTGATGCATTCCAACTTTGAAGGAAACTTCCCTGATGAGTTGCTTGGTAGGGCGGCAGTGGGTCTGTTCGCAAAGAAGAAGAAAACAGTCCTCTCCAAACCATTATGGCTGAGATTTTGGGACTTTTTTTTTTCGATCCCTAGTATACATACAGCCACTCCAAATGACGATATCACCCACACTCGTATGTTATAATCACTAATGTGAGTATTATGTACCTCATGCTGTCATCTGTGGCTTAGTCCATGCAAATGCGCTTTGTAAATCTGAAGTACCGGGTTCAATTCCAGACACATGTGATTTGACAGCAGATCGCTTTGCGTTGATTTTGACAATATATATGAAGAGTCAACCGCTCAAAAAGCAATGGTCAACTTATCACTCTTATAGTCCATGCCATGTGATGTCATCCATGCCATGTGATGTCATGTCTATCCAGAATATTCTGTCTTGTGCTGAGCTGATTCAAGAACTGACATCACAGCTCTCGGGGCATTCCCATTAGTGTTCTGTCCTCATCTTTCAGCAGCCAGCGCAGAGTTTCAATACCAATGGTGCCATTAGCATTATGATAATATGCCTGTCTTGCCTTTCCTCTTAGCATTGAGCATAACTCCTGCATCACTCTCACCACACTGGTGATCCAGTCCATTTCCTCTCCGCGCTAGCGCGCCCAGACGGAGGCCGCCGACAGCGCACAGCCCCGCACTTTCTCGGTTTGTCGTGTCCCCCCCCCCCCCCCCCCCCCCC